TGGTGTACACGGTGCTATTTCAGGAATATTTTGATGGTTTTTTTTCTCTACCTGGATTTTCTGTTTGCAAAAAGTCACACACACACACGCAAAGTCACTTTAAGAAGTTTTTTTTTCTTGTTCATGTTTTAGTTTTTTTTTCTCGTTCGTTTGTTGCGGTTGCACTCCGATTCAAGAGCCGAATGGCTCACAGGGCCCTGCCAAATAAATAAATAAAAACTATGAAAACTCTGAAACTCCCGACACACACATCGATGTCGCTGTGTTAATAGCGAATTGCCACGTTCTGAGTTTACGTGACACAAACCCCTTGCGATGGTTGTGACATTTGTTGCGATAGTTGCTTTTTGCCAGAGTCGCAGTTGCTGTGACAATTGTTGCGACAGTTGTTGTGATAGCTCCTGCTGCTGCTGCTGCTCCTGCTGCTGCTGCTGTTGTTGTTGTGGTGGTCCTTGGTTGTGCCGATTGGCGGCTTCATTAGCAGCGGCACGCGAGCGAGCACGTGGCTGGCGATTGTCACAGAGGGGTGGCGAGAAGCCACACCCGGTGTGGTCCTGTCGTGTGTAGCGTGCAATAATATAGCGTCGTGTGCAGTAGTGTAGGGTATAGTGTGTGGTAGTGTAGTGTATAGTGTGTAGTAGTGTAGTGTATAGTGTGTGGTAGTGTAGTGTATAGTGTGCAGCGTGCAATAATATAGCGTCGTGTGCAGTAGTGTAGGGTATAGTAGTGTAGTGTATAGTGTGTGGTAGTGTAGTGTATAGTGTGCAGCGTGCAATAATATAGCGTCGTGTGCAGTAGTGTAGGCTATAGTGTGTAGTAGTGTAGTGTGTAGTGTAGTGTATAGTGTGTGGTAGTGTAGTGTATAGTAGTGTAGTGTATAGTGTGTGGTAGTGTAGTGTATAGTGTGTAGCGTGCAATAATATAGCGTCGTGTGTAGTAGTGTAGGGTATAGTGTGTAGTAGTGTAGTGTATAGTAGTGTAGTGTATAGTGTGTGGTAGTGTAGTGTATAGTAGTGTAGTGTATAGTGTATGGTAGTGTAGTGTATAGTGTGTAGCGTGCAATAATATAGCGTCGTGTGTAGTAGTGTAGGGTATAGTGTGTAGTAGTGTATAGTGTGTAGTAGTGTAGTGTATAGTGTGTGGTAGTGTAGTGTATAGTAGTGTAGTGTATAGTGTGTGGTAGTGTAGTGTATAGTGTGTAGTAGTGTAGTGTATGGTGTGTAGTAGTGTAGTGTATAGTGTAGTAGTGTAGTGTATAGTGTGTGGTAGTGTAGTGTATATAGTGTAGTAGTGTAGTGTATAGTGTGCAGCGTGCAATAATATAGCATTGTGTGTAGTAGTGTAGTGTAAAGTAGTGTAGTGTGTAGTGTAAAGTAGTGTAGTGTATAGTGTGTAGCAGTGTAGTGTATAGTAGTGTAGTGCATCGTGTGTAGTAGTGTAGTGTATAGTGTATGGTAGTGTAGTGTATAGTGTGTGGTAGTGTAGTGCATAGTAGTGTAGTGTATAGTGTATGGTAGTGTAGTGTATAGTGTGTAGCGTGCAATAATATAGCGTCGTGTGTAGTAGTGTAGGGTATAGTAGTGTAGTGTGTAGTGTGTGGTAGTGTAGTGTATAGTGTGTAGTAGTGTAGTGTATAGTAGTGTAGTGTATAGTGTATGGTAGTGTAGTGTATAGTGTGTAGCGTGCAATAATATAGCGTCGTGTGTAGTAGTGTAGGGTATAGTGTGTAGTAGTGTAGTGTATATTGTGTAGTAGTGTAGTGTATAGTAGTGTAGTGTATAGTGTATAGTAGTGTAGTGTATAGTGTGTGGAAGTGTAGTGTATAGTGTGTGGTAGTGTAGTGTATAGTGTGTAGTAGTGTAGTGTATGGAAGTGTAGTGCATATTGTGAAGTAGTGTAGTGTATAGTAGGGTAGTGTATAGTGTGTGGTAGTGTAGTGTATAGTGTGTAGTAGTGTAGTGTATAGTAGTGTAGTGTATGGTAGTGTAGTAGTGTAGTGTATAGTGTGTGGTAGTGTATAGTGTGTAGTAGTGTAGTGTATAGTGTGTAGTAGTGTAGTGTATAGTGTGTAGTAGTGTAGTGTAGTGTGTAGTAGTGCAGTGTATAGTGTGTGGTAGTGTAGTGTATAGCGTGTAGTAGTGTAGTGTATAGCGTGTAGTAGTGTAATGTATAGTGTGTAGCGTGCAATAATATAGCATCGTGTGTCGCAGTGTCGTGTGTAGTAGTGTAGTGTATAGTAGTGTATAGTGTGTCGTAGTGTATAGTGTGTGGTAGTGTAGTGTATAGTGTGTAGTAGTGTAGTGTATAGTAGTGTAGTGTATAGTAGTGTAGTAGTGTAGTGTATAGTAGTGTAGTGTATAGTGTGTAGTAGTGTAGTGTATAGTGTGTAGTAGTGTAGTGTATAGTGTGTAGTAGTGTATAGTGTGTAGTAGTGTATTGTGTAGTAGTGTAGTATATAGTGGGTAGTATTGTCGTGTGTAGTAGTGTAGTGTATAGTAGTGTAGTGTATAGTGTGTAGTAGTGTAGTGTATAGTAGTGTAGTGTATAGTGTGTAGTAGTGTAGTGTATAGTAGTGTAGTGTATATTGTGTAGTAGTGTAGTGTATATTAGTGTAGTCACTGTAGTGTATAGTGTGTAGTAGTGTAGTGTATAGTGTGTGGTAGTGTAGTGTATAGTGTGTAGTAGTGTAGTGCATCGTGTGTCGCAGTGTCGTGTATAGTAGTGTAGTGTATAGTAGTGTATAGTGTAATGTGTAGCAGTGTAGTGTGTAGTGTGTAGTAGTGTAGTGTATAGTGTGTAGGAGTGTAGTGTATAGTAGTGTAGTGTATAGTGCGTGGTAGTGTAGTGTATAGTAGTGTGGTGTATAGTGTGTGGTAGTGTAGTAGTGTCGTATGCAGTAGTGTCGTGTGTAGAAGTGTAGTGTAATGTGTTGTCATGTCATGTGTAGTAGTGTAGTGTATAATAGTGTAGTGTATAGTAGTGTCGTCAATAGTGCTATAGTGTGGTGTATAGTAGTGTCGAGTGTAGTGTATCGTATGTATTGACACTCACGTACGATATATGTTCACACATTTACAAATCACCTCATCACGTTACACCCAAGGGGGTGTGCGATGCATCCCATCTCGGCCCGTAAAATCACCTCTTTAAACAAAACACAAAATGGCCTTTAGCCCCCCCCCCTCCCGTAAGTTTTGGTGGTTTACCGGCACTGGCATCGTCTCATTTCCCTGCTCCCCATTATGCGGTGGCACATTTGGGTATCCTCGGACAAAATGCGCCGTAACGGGATGAAACGAATCCGCAGACAGAACGAACGATAAGTTACGTTCAATGCTCTTGGCCCACGTGCGGAGAAATGGGACCGTGGCTTTGCACCATATAAGGAATACCGGGATGGTAATCGACGTGTTTGACAATTCAACGGTCGATTAAACGGGAATCGGTGTGGATCAAGCGTGGATCAAGCACAGATCGAGCATGGCGATTCCTGCCACGTGATTTCTGGACCTAAAGAGACGATTTGTGGATCGAAAAAGCCCACATTAGGCCGCCCCTTGACACTGATTGGCTGCCTTCCGCATTAACATAATTTACCTTTCATTCTGTTACGGATTTATTTGATCCTGTTACAGCGCCTTACGAATAAATGTACACCATCATTGTTATAAACGCGGAGGGAAAAACCGGAGGACCCGGAGAAAAATCCACGTGACCACGTGGGGAGAGAGAGAGAGAGAGAGAAGCAGATGCCAAATATACAGCAGCATGGAATCCATCGTCAGCGGTCGGGATCGAACCAACGACCTCCTTTATACCGGGCGAGGCAGTCAACATCTCCTCGCCCACGTGGCGCTAGACTGCAAACCGTCGCCCGCAACGGCGCACCAACGGAGAGAGCGCGAACGACACGGACGCGGCACCTTGGTCACGCTCGCACGTTTATTGAAACCACGAAGGGGAGACAGATTCGTGCCCTGTTTGGCTTCGGCTTCAACGGAAACTCCTCCGTCATCGTCGTCGTCGTCATCGTCGTCGTCCGTGAGCCAATCCCGCAAAGTCAGCTCGGCAGCTCAAACTGACCTCTGGGTGATGTTCCGAGGCCACTCGAAAAAATAGTTTTACTTTTTAACTATTCAATTCTATTTCACGGGCAAGGCCAACCGAGCCGTTAGCTCTTGCTCAGAGGAGACCTGGCCACACTCGACGATAGCTCATCACCAACGTCATCCAACAGTGGATGACATCACCGTTGTCGTCGTCGTTTTCGTCGTCGTCACCACACGTGGGAATTTAAAGCGATCAAAATAGGAATCCGAACGTGCGCTGATTCTCAACGCGGAGGGGCGCAAAATCGCAGGCGGCTTATCATCATCACCATCATCACGTGGACAATAGTATCAGCAGCCAAATAATCTAAACGTGTGACGTTCAATCTAAAATGTGGAGGGGAAACCCGGAGGACACCGTAGAAAAATCCACGCGACCACCACGGGGAGAGAGAGAAAGATCACGCAGACTCCACATGTACAACGGGCATCGTCAGGGTTCCGCATCTGTTCGTCACTGCGGGGAGATGCGATCACCGGGGGGGGGGGTTGGGGTCATGAAATCAGAATTAACGGAGGTAAGTAACACAGCTGCAGAACTGCATACAGGAGATCCCTCTACGTACGATTCACAAACTTTCAGAGATACGAACAAACCTGTCCGTATGTCATGTAGAACCAGTGGCATCTACATCTGCAGAACGTGAAGAACCGGTGGCATCTACAATTGCAGAACGTGAAGAACCAGTGGCATCTACATCTGCAGAACGTGAAGAACCAGTGGCATCTACATCTACAGAACGTTAAGAACTCGTGGCATCTACATCTGCAGAACGTGTAGAACCAGTGGCATCTACATCTGCAGAACTTGAAGAACCAGTGACATCTACAACTGCAGAAGATGTAGAACCAGTGGCATCTACATCTGCCGAATGTGAAGAACCAGTGGCATCTACATCTGCAGAACATGAAGAACCAGTGGCATCTACATCTACAGAACATGAAGAACCGGTGGCATCTACATCTGCAGAACGTGAAGAACCGGTGGCATCTACATCTGCATAGGCCTTTGTGTATCGAGAGACAATTCTTTTTGCACCTTACGAGGTCAGCTGTAGGTTTTGCAGCGCCTAGAATGACTTAGGCCAATCCTTGAGTGACAATCCTTGCCACAGCAATTTCAAGTGAATGCGGTGGCAGCTCCAGAGGTGTTTGTTGCTTTTTCTTTACATCGCTCCCTCTTGGTCTGCCAAGCGGTGTGTCTTTTCTCCTCGCCTCTTCCTGAGGCCGGTTTCCACAGCCTGCTACCAGCTGAGTCGGTCGCCGGCAGTTTTCTCCCAGTCATTTGGGTTGATGTCGCAGCTCTTCACGTCCCGTTTACAGACATCTTTGAAGCGCAGGACCGGGCGACCAGTGACCCGTGTGCCTGATGCCAGCTCGCCGTACAAGACATCCTTGGGTATTCTGCCATCCTGCATGCGGCGCACGTGTCCAAGCCATCTCAGGCGCCTATGACTGAGTAGAGAGTACATGTTGGGAATGTTGGCCAAGTTGAGAACTGAGGTGTTGGGAATGCGATCTTGCCATCTGATATCGAGGATGCGCCTGAGACATCGGAGGTGGAATGTGTTTTAGTCGATGTTCTTGATGGGCGTATGTTGTCCAGGACTCAGACCCATAGAGGAGGGTGCTAAGGACGCAGGCCCGGTACACCTGCACTTTGGTGTTGAGCGTTGGGGATTTGTTCTCCCACACTCTTTTAGTCAGCCTGAACATAGCTGTAGACGCCTTCCCAATGCGCTTGCCAATCTCTGTGACGAGGGACAAATTGTAGGTGATGGTAGAACCCAAGTAGGTGAAGTCCTGAACGACTTCCAGGGTGTAGCTGCCAATGTTTATGGAAGGGGTGTCTCTGACATTCTGGCCCATGACATTGGTCTTTTTTAGACTGATTGTGTAGGCCAAAGTTGTTGCAGGCATTGGCAAGGTGGTCGATGAGTGTCTGCAAACCTTGTTCTGTGTGAGCTGTCAGCGCAGCATCATCAGCGAATAGGAGTTCTCTGATGAGGACTTTGCGGACTTTGGTTTTGGATCTGAGACACGGCCAAGGTTGAAGAGTTTGCCATCAGATCTTGTATGAAGAAAGACTCCCCCTCTTCTGCTGTCCCAAAGGCATGTGTGAGCATAAGTGAGAAAAAGATGCCAAATAGTGTTGGGGCAAGCACGCTGAGTATGGGAAATTCCTCTGAGGTGGTGCCGCTGTGCTGTATTGTTCCTTTCATGTTGTCATGGAAAGAGGAGATGACTGCCAGCAGCTTCGGTGGACAGCCGATCACTTTGAGGAGTTTGAAAAGGCATCCCGTACTGATGAGGTCAAAGGCTTTTGTAAAATCAATGAATGCCAAGTACAGGGGCATTCTCTGTTCTCAACATTTCTCCTCTAGCTACGCAAGGAGGACAGCATGTCAATTGTAGACCTTCCTGCTCTGAAGCCACACTGAGCCTCAGGATACGTCCTCTCAGCTAGTATCCGTAACCTGCTGAGGGCCACACGGGCAAAGGTTTTCCCCACGATGCTCAGCAGGGAGATGCCGCGGTAGTTACTGCAGTCCCCACGGTCACCCTTGTTTTTATATAGGGTGATGATGTTGGAGTCTCTCATTGTCTTGAGGCACTGCTCCTTCTTCCCAGCACTGACAGAGAAGTTCACGGAGTTTTGTGAGGACGGCGGGTTTTGCACATTTCAGTACCTCAGGTGTGATGCCGTCCTGTCCCGGTGACTTGCCGCTGGCTAGTGAGTTGATGGCGCTGTCAAGTTCCTTCAAGGTTGGAACATTGTCCAGTTCGTGTATCGTTGGTAGGGGCTTTACAGCAGCAAGGGCAGCTTCTGACACACCGTTGTCTCGCGAGTAGAGCTCTGAGTAGTGTTCTACCCACCTGGCCATTTGCTCTTGTTTATCAGTGATGATGGCCCCTGTGCTGGATTTAAGGGGGGCAAGTCCTCCTGATGTTTGGACCAAAGGCTGTCTTGATGCCTTCATACATGGCACGGATATTGCCAGTGTCAGAGGCGAGTTGGATCCTACTGCTGAGGTTCACCCGGTAGTTGTTGGCGCAGCGTCTGGCGGTCGTTTGAGCTGCACTGCGGGCAGCTTTCAGAGCCCTTGACGATCCTGTGCTTGGGACTTGCTTGTATTTCAGCAGCGCCGTGCGTTTGGCTTGGAGGATGGGTTCCAATATAGCCAGGTGTTCCTCAAACCAGCCTGTGTTCCGCCTTGTCTGCTTGCCGAAGGTATTGATGGCTGCATTGAAGATGGCGGTCTCTGATGTATGCCCACTTTGTCTCCACGCTTCCATCCGGTGTGTCGTGTAGGGACTGCTCAAGGCTGTGTTGGCATAATTGAGTGAGCTCTGGGAGGGAGGTCTTGGCAGAGTCGATGCGTAGGTAGCGCTTTTGTTTGAGTCCGTGTATCTTTTTTGGGGCGTAGTCTGACCTTGCTGGATACCAGCGAGTGATCGGTGTCACAGACTGCACTGCGGTAGCCGCGTGTGACGAGTGCCGAGTTGAGGAGGGCTCGTCGGGTGATGACGAGGTCCAGTTGGTGCCAATTAAGAGACCTTGGATGTCTCCATGATACTTTATGGCATGGTTTTGTGAGAAAGAATGCGTTTGTGATACAGAGATTGTGGTATGAACAAAGCTCCGGTAGTCTTTGGCCACCGGCATTCATCTTTCCAATGCCGTGGTAGCCAAGGCATGCGGGCCACGCGTCGTGGTCAGCCCCAACCCTTGCATTGAAGTCTCCCAACAGAAACATGTGCTCAGAGCTGGGGATTTTGCAAATAATATTGTGAAGCTCTTCATAGAATTGGTCATGAATCTCCGGAGGTGAGTAGAGTGTTGGGGCGCAGACACTCAGGATGTTTACATGGCCAGAAGCAGTGCATTCTTCACGGCGCCACCGGCAAACGCCTTGGCGACAAGCGTCGCAACGCCCTCGCGCTGGTCTCACAGTCCCATCTTGAAACCTTCCGTCAACCCAAAGTAAAAAAAAAAAAACTAAAATGATAATCCAAAATCTCATCGCCGGGTGGGAATGTTTCCTGGAATAGTTTTTGTTGCTGCGTCACACGCACGCCGTGCGTAGCCAACTGCGCTATAAAGGCTGGTGGCATTGCGGCGATGACACCACCTTTCACTCCTACCACCCCCCCCCCCCCCCGTCTATTTCAGAGCGAAACAGGTGGAAGAGACTTTGTTCACAATTCTGGCCAAATCGCCCCGATGAGGCTGGGTCGTTTTTGTTGTCATCGCGTCGGCGAAACGTCACCGGCTACTCGAAACGTGAATGTTGATGTCCGCGGGTTTTACCCTCCTATACGCAACCGGTTAAAACTAGTTGCTAACTGGGCCACGTTTTGAGTTTTACGCGCCACGAGCCTTGACCGATCGGCCGTGTCGGGCGATGGTGGTGGCGGCGGTGGGTTTAACGACGACACACGTTTATAGTTACGCGATTATGGCAAACCGGAGGAGCCAAGGGTGGAGGCGGGGGGGTGGGGGGGAGAGCAGGGACACAACATTGACCCGGAACGGACCCACAAATGCGTCTCGCGTGGCGATGCGTCCATAGTGCGCGGTGAGGCCGCGGACTAACCGCTAACGCGCCCGCCGGCGTTTCGGCAGCGGCACGGCTCACGGTTCAACCCCGACGGTCGTGCCGGTGGGGTGGGGATGGAGGGGGCGGGGGTGGTGGTGGTGGTGGGGAGGGCGGGCGGCGGCGGCGGCGGCGGCGGTCAAAAACAACAAAAATAATCCTCAGTTTTTAATCTTCTGCTCCATGAAGTTCAGGGGAGTGAACAGAACCCCCGCGTGGGTGACCTGGTGCTTGTGCAGGTTGCCCGACTGCGTGAACGCCTTGCCGCAGACTTCGCACTTGTAGGGCTTCTCGCCCGTGTGGGTCCTCCGGTGGCTGTGCAGCGCGCCCGACTGGGTGAAGGCCTTTCCGCACGTCGTGCACTTGTAGGGCTTCTCGCCCGCGTGGGTCCTCTGGTGGCTGTGGAGGGCGCCCGACTGCGTGAAGGCCTTGCCGCACGCGACGCACTTGTACGGCTTCTCGCCCGTGTGCGTCCTCTGGTGGTTGTTGAGGGCCCCCGAGACCGTGAAGGCCTTGCCGCAGACGTCGCACTTGTAGGGCTTCTCGCCCGTGTGCGTCCTCTGGTGGTTGTGCAGGTTGCCCGACTGCGTGAAGGCCTTGTCGCAGACGGCGCACACGTACGGCTTCTCGCCCGTGTGCGTCCGCCGGTGGCTGTTGAAGGAGCCCCGGTTGTCCGTGTTGTACACGCACTGGTCGCACTGGTGCATGGCGATTCCTCCTGCTGCTGCTGCTGCTGCTGCTACTGCTGCCCCTGTTGCTGCACAGACCACCAAAAAGACAAAGATCCCCCACACCAACACCGACCGGCGTGTCGTCTTAACAGATTGTCGGGGCAAGTGCCGTTAGTAGCAAGTTGCAGCAGCGCCTAATAAGGTACTCGAAGCGGGGGGTGGGGTGGCCAGCGCCATGCCCGCCCCTGCCACCTTTGTCTCCCCAGTGGCGATGTTTACACACCACACCCAGGAGGTAATCTGAGGCCAAGTCGACCGAGGGGGGGTTGCCCAGCACCGGTTCGGATAAATCGTCACCAGTGTTGGCAGTGAGCGGGAGTCGAACTCGGGGCGCCGGGTTCTTGTGCAGCGCGCTAACCGTCAAACTACATTCATAGCAGCCAAACACTCGGAAGGCGTGACATTGATTCTAAAACATGGGGGGGATCCGGATAAAAATCCACGCGGCCACGGGGGAGAGAGACGCAAACTCCAAACATACAGCAGGCGCCAGGGTCGGGATCGAACCCACGACCTCCTGCAAACCAGGCGAGGTAGTCAGCATCTCCTAGCCACCGTGATGATGATGGTGAGAGAGAGAGAGACGCAGACTCCAAATATACAGCAGCAGGCGCCAGGGTCGGGATCGAACCCACGACTTCCTGCATACCAGGCGAGGTAGTCAACATCTCCTAGCCACCGTGATGATGATGATGAGAGAGACGCAGACTCCAAATATACAGCAGGCGCCAGGGTCGGGATCGAACCCACGACCTACTGCAAACCAGGCGAGGTAGTCAACATCTCCCAGCCACCGTGATGATGATGAGAGAGAGAGAAAGACGCAGACTCCAAATATACAGCAGCAGGCGCCAGGGTCGGGATCGAACCCACGACCTCCTGCAAACCAGGCGAGGTAGTTAACATCTCCTAGCCACCGTGATGATGATGATGAGAGAGAGAGACGCAGACTCCAAATATACAGCAGGCGCCAGGGTCGGGATCGAACCCACGACCTCCTGCAAACCAGGCGAGGTAGTTAACATCTCAGCATCCGCGACGCCCCCAACGTTGCCGCAACGTTGCCACGATTACTGGAACGTTGGACCAACGCTTGCCCAACCGTGGATTGTGGTTGCAACCGTTGGCTCAGCGTTGACATGCGGTTCAGAATCAGCATCAGCATCTCCACTTACCATGGAAGAGGAGGAATCTGATGGAGCTATGAAGATATTTTTCACAGATGTCCAGTTAGGGGGCAGGGGTCGGAGATGTTGACTACCTCGCCTGGTATGCAGGAGGTCGTGGGTTCAATCTGGACCGTAACGATGCCTGCTGCTGCTTGCTGTATATTTAGAGTCTGGGTCTCTCTCATCATCATCACGGTGGACTAGGAGATGTTGACTACCTCGCCTGGTATGCAGGAGGTCGTGGGTTCAATCGGGACCCTAACGATGTCTGCTGCTGCTGTATATTTAGAGTCTGGGTCTCTCTCTCTCTCTCATCATCATCACGGTGGACTAGGAGATGTTGACTACCTCGCCTGCTATGCAGGAGGTCGTGGGTTCAATCTGGACCCTAACGATGCCTGCTTCTGCTGCTGTATATTTAGAGTCTGGGTCTCTCTCTCTCTCTCTCCCCGTGGTGGCCACGTGGACTTTTTTCCTCCGGGTTCCTCCCGTTTTTCCCTGCACATTCAGAATCAACATCACGTGTTTAGGGCATTCGGCTGCTGCTGTCAATTCCCACGCGAAGACGATGATGATGACGATGAGCCACTTCGTTGAGCTGTTCATCTGCGGCAGCCAGGTCGCTTCCGCAAAAGAGCTACACGTAGCTCTGTGGACCTCATATGCTAAAGCATACTTCAGCAAAAACAGTCGGACCTCGCACGAGAACTCGAACAAGTCGGTGTTCGAACGACATTCCCAAACATTTTTTCGCCCTGGAAACCGAACGAAATTCGGAGGTCGAACTGGGGGCAATCGCGACTTGGAAGGGCCTGCACGGCTGAGACGCGAGTATGGCCCAGCAGCGTGGACGACGCTTGCCCGGGCAAAGGGGCCTCCCCTTACAAGCAATAACGCCACTACCACCACCACCACCACCACCTCCACCACCACCTCCTCCTCACCACCTTCCACTCAAGCCATCAACTCTCCTTACTACAGGTAAAGTGAAGTTCAATGTTGGTTTAGTTCATTTATTCCATGTATGTATCCATATTTCGATTTATCTTCTTTGGTTCTTTCGGTAAAGTCACGTAGAAGGAGAATAAAATAATAAATTGATAAAATAAAATAACACAATAATATTCTCACGACGTTTCGGCCACAACACAAGCGGCCTTCATCAGGTGAAGGGAGCGAGACTGTCTGGTAGGACAGCGCTGGAGTGAGAGATCCACGTTCAGATCACGGCTTTTAAGCTGTGTGAGAGGAACAAAGAGCCTTGACGAAGGAATTAGCATAAAATTTAGCATTGAAAAGGCTGAATGATTAGCTTGTGACTGGTCACAGAAATAGCTATGTTAAAAGTTAAAGCATACACCTCCATATGTTCCATTTATTTGCTGTGTTTTATTGGGTTTTTTTTGCGTGATTTTACGCACGCGATTACTGTAAACGTCGCGTAAAAAGTGCTCTATGATGAGGGATTTCTTGTTTCCGGAAGCAATCCGTGTCATTTACATTCGTTCTTACGGGGAAAAATTAATTCGGTGTCGCAACAAATCGGTGTACGAATGGCCTCCTGGAACGGACTGAGTTCGATCTCCCAGGGTGCCGCCGAATCTAAGTTCAACTCGATTATTGTTTGTTTTTTTAATCATCGTTACCAGGAAAGTCCCACCACTGAGCTCCCGTTCAGCCCTTTTCCAGAAGCGACCTGGCCCAAGGCCCTCCACAGCCTGTGGTGGTGCCAGGCGAACACGGGCGGCGATCGCCGATAAGAGCGGCAAGCCTATGAACCTGTGGCAGTACCGAGCGGTTTGAGACCGGGGCGGGGGCGGGGGAGGAGGAGGGAGTTTCAAAGCTGACTTGAAAACACGGCAAAGCCCTGCTAATTCGACGCATGCGGGGCTGTGGCTTTGCCGAATCATCCAATGTTCCGAATCATGTGCAATGGTGCTCCCCAGGGCCTCCTGCTGCACCAATGTTTTTTAATCCAAATTTGTTTGCCAAAAAAAAAGAAAACCTCTTCACGCAACACCAACACCAACAGCAGCAGCAGCAGCAATCGCCAATTGGCCACCAAGCGGCGGTGACGTCACCACGGCGCCTGTGCCAGGCCATGTGCACGTTGGGCCCGCGTGAAGTGTCGAACGCCCCGCTTGCAGGAGGAGGTCACGGGGCAGACCCAGCAGCATGTGCCACGGGTCGACTGATTTTGATTACTGGCCGATGCATCACCTGTGCCCCCTACTGCGCACATGGACACGCACGCACAAACCTGCATCAATGATATCCGAAACTTCTGATTCGTCTCGCAGACTAAGGGATTCATATATATATACACAGTAAAACCTTGGATTGCGAGCAATAATTCGTTCTGGAAACGTGTTTGTAATCCAAAGCACTCGTATATCAGCTGTGATCACGTGACGCTCGGCAGTACAAAGCGTCTACACGCACGCTGCTCGTATTGCTAAGACCCTCGCTCGTTTATCGAATCAATATTTATTTTAAAACCTTTTTGCTCGTCTTGGCAAAACGCTCAGAGACCAAGGTTGTACTGAACTTGGGGTCCCTCTCTACCACGTCTCGATGCAAGGTGGGCGAGGCACTCCATATCTTGTGGTGCCAGACGAACAATGAAAACACAGCACATGTATATACCGCATTTTCCCGCATATAACCCGCGGGGTATACCACTTCTTACAAACGAAACAAGACCCTGCGGGGTATATGGAGGTGCGGGCTATCCCAAAAATATTTTACACGTGTTTACATTTTTTTATGGTAGGACTATCTGTCTCTATCTGTGTGTGTCTGTGTGTGTCTGTGTGTGTCTGTCTGTGTCTGTCTCTATCTGTCTGTCCGTGTGTGTCTGTCTGTGTCTATCTGTGTCTATCTGTGTCTGTGTCTGTCTGTGTCTGCCTGTGTCTGCCTGTGTCTGTCTGTGTGTCTGTGTGTGTCTGTCTGTGTCTATCTGTCTGTGTCTATCGCTGTCTGTCTGTGTCTGTCTGTGTGTGTCTGTGTGTCTCTGTGTGTGTCTGTGTGTCTCTGTCTGTGTCTCTGTCTGTCTCTGTCTGTGTCTGTCTGTGTCTCTGTCTGTCTCTGTGTGTGTCTCTGTGTGTCTGTTTCGCTGTATGGCTGTCTGTGTCTCTGTGTCTCTGTCTGTGTGTCTCTGTGTCTCTGTCTGTGTGTGTCTGTGTCTATCTCTGTCTGTCTGTGTGTGTCTGTCTGTCTGTGTCTGCCTGTGTGTGTCGGTGTCTCTGTGTGTGTGTCTCTGTGTGTGTCTGTGTGTCTCTGTCTGTGTCTCTGTCTGTCTGTCTCAGTGTGTGTCTGTGTGTCTCTGGGTGTCTCTGTGTGTCTGTCTCTATATCTGTGTGTCTCTCTGTCTGTGTGTCTCTCTGTCTGTGTGTCTTTGTCTCTGTGTGTCTGTCTCTCCGTCTGTGTCTCTGTGTGTCTGTCTGTGTCTCTGTCTGTGTGTCTCTGTCTCTGTCTGTGTCTCTGTGTGTCTCTGTCTCTGTCTGTGTATGTCTCTGTCTCTCTGTTGTGTCTCGGTGTGTTTCTGTCTGTGTGTGTGTCTCTGTCTGTGTGTCTCTCTCTGTCTTTGTCTCTGTGTGTGTCTCTGTGTGTCTCTGTGTCTCTGTGTGTCTCTGTCTGTGTGTCTCTGTGTGTGTCTATGTGTGTCTCTGTGTGTCTCTGTCTCTGTGTGTCTCTGTCTCTGTGTGTCTCTGTCTGTCTCTGTGTGTGTCTCTGTCTCTCTCTGTCTCTATGTGTCTCTGTCTGTGTCTCTGTGTGTGTCTCTGTGTGTCTGTGTGTGTGTCTGTGTGTGTCTGTGTGTCTCTGTGTGTCTCTGTCTCTGTGTGTCTCTGTCTGTCTGTGTCTCTGTCTCTGTGTGTGTCTGTGTCTCTGTGTGTGTCTCTGTGTGTCTCTGTCTCTGTGTGTGTCTGTCTGTGTCTCTGTGTGTGTCTCTGTGTGTCTCTGTGCGTGTCTCTGTGTGTGTCTCTGTGTGTCTTTGTCTGTGTCTCTGTGTGTGTCTCTGTCTGTGTCTCTGTGTGTCTCTGTGTGTCACTGTCTCTGTGTGTCTCTCTCTCTGTCTGTGTCTCTGTCTCTGTTTGTGTCTCTGTCTCTGTCTGTGTCCCTGTGTGTCTCTGTCTGTGTCTCTGTCTGTGACTCTGTGTATGTCTCTGTGTGTCTCTGTGTGTGTCTCTGTCTGTCTGTGTCTCTGTGTGTCTCTGTCTCTGTGTCTCTGTTTGTGTCTCTGTGTGTCTCTGTCTCTGTGTGTCTCTGTCTGTGTCTCTGTGTGTCTCTGTCTCTGTGTGTCTCTGTCCCTGTGTGTCTGTCTGTCTGTGTCTCTGTGTGTGTCTCTGTGTGTCTCTGTCTCTGTGTATCTCTGTGTGTCTCTATCTCTGTGTATCTCTGTCTGTGTCTCTGTGTGTCTCTGTCTCTGTATGTCTCTGTCTCTGTGTGTGTCTCTGTGTCTCTGTCTCTGTGTGTGTCTCTGTGTCTCTATCTCTGTGTGTGTCTCTGTGTCTCTGTCTCTGTGTGTCTCTGTCTCTGTGTGTCTCTGTCTGTCTGTGTCTCTGTGTGTCTCTGTCTCTGTGTGTCTCTGTCTCTGTGTGTCTCTGTCTGTGTGTCTCTGTCTGTCTGTGTCTCTGTCTCTGTGTGTCTCTGTCTCTGTGTGTCTGTGTGTCTCTGTCTCTGTGTGTCTCTGTGTGTCTCTGTCTCTGTGTGTCTCTGTCTGTGTGTCTCTGTGTGTCTGTGTCTCTGTCTCTGTGTGTCTGTGTGTGTCTCTGTGTGTGTCTCTGTATCTGTGTGTCTCTGTGTGTTTGTCTGTGTGTCTCTGTGTGTGTCTGTGTCTCTGTGTGTCTCTGTCTCTGTGTGTCTCTGTGTGTCTGTGTCCCTGTGTGTCTCTGTGTGTGTCTCTGTGTGTGTCTGTCTCTCTGTGTCTCTGTCTCTATGTGTCTCTGTCTGTTTGTGTCTCTGTGTGTGTCTCTGTCTCTGTGTGTCTCCGTCTCTGTGTGTCTGTGTGTCTCTGTGTGTGTCTCTGTCTCTGTGTGTCTCTGTCTCTGTGTGTCTCTGTCTCTGTGTGTCTGTCTGTGTGTCTCTATGTGTGTCTGTGTCTCTGTGTGTCTCTGTCTCTGTGTGTCTCTGTCTCTGTGTGTTTCTGTCTGTGTGTCTCTGTCTCTGTGTGTCTCTGTCTCTGTCTGTCTCTGTCTGTGTCTCTGTGTGTCTCTGTGTGTGTCTCTGTGTGTGTCTCTGTCTGTGTGTGTCTCTGTCTCTGTGTGTCTCTGTCTCTGTTTGCGTCTCTGTGTCTCTGTCTTTGTGTGTCTCTGTCTGTGTCTGTGTCTCTGTGTGTCTCTGTCCCTGTGTGTCTCTGTCTGTCTGTGTCTGTCTGTGTCTCTGTCTGTGTCTCTGTGTGTGTCTCTGTGTGTCTCTGTCTCTGTGTGTCACTGTGTGTCTCTGTGTGTTTGTCTGTGTCTCTGTGTGTGTCTCTGTGTGTCTCTGTCTCTGTGTGTCACTGTGTGTCTCTGTGTGTTTGTCTGTGTCTCTGTGTGTGTCTCTGTGTGTCTCTGTCTCTGTGTGTCTCTGTCTCTGTGTGTCTCTGTCTCTGTGTGTCTCTGTCTGTCTGTGTCTCTGTCTGTGTCTCTGTGTGTCTCTGTCTGTCTGTGTCTCTGTGTGTCTCTGTCTCTCACCGAATCACCTCCGTCTCGACCTCCCGCTCCGCCTAGGCCGCGTGACGTCACCTCACAGGGCGGTGTCAAGGCAGAGGGCAATGACGTCATCGAGTACAAGCCCCCACCGCTCCGTCGAGCGCGATTGCGTCACCTCGCAGGGCGAGATGCCGAAGCGCGATTACGTCACTGCGTAGAGAGGCGGTAATACCGAGCGGCATGACGTCACCGAGTCCGAGCCCCCCCCCCCTGCGCCGTCGAGCGCGATGGCGTCACCGCGAAGGTTGGTGTCAGTTCCGAGCACGATGACATCACGGCGCACGAAGACTCCCTCCGCCACGACGTCACCGCGCAGGATGGTGAGGCAGAGCGCGATGACGTCACCACGGTTGGTTGAGTGGTTGAATGAGTGGTTGAGTGAGTGGTTGAGTAGTTGGTTGAGTGAGTGGTTGAGTGAGTGGTTGAGTGGTTGGCTGAGTGAGTGAGTGGTTGAGTGGTTAATTGAGTGAGTGGATGGTTGAGTGGTTGAGTGAGTGGTTGGCTGAGTGAGTGGTTGAGTGAGTGGTTGAGTGGTTGGCTGAGTGAGTGAGTGGTTGAGTGGTTAATTGAGTGAGTGGATGGTTGAGTGGTTGGCTGAGTGAGTGGTTGAGTGGTTAGTTGAGTGAGTGGTTGGTTGAGTGAGTGGTTGGCTGAGTGAGTGAGTGGTTGAGTGGTTACTTGAGTGAGTGGATGGTTGAGTAGTTGAGTGAGTGGTTGGCTGAGTGAGTGGTTGAGTGGTTGGCTGAGTGAGTGGTTGAATGGTTAATTGAGTGAGTGGATGGTTGAGTGGTTGGCTGAGTGAGTGGTTGAGTGGTTAGTTGAGTGAGTGGTTGGTTGAGTGAGTGGTTGGTTGAGTGGATGGTTGAGTGGTTGGTTGAGTGGATGGCTGAGTGAGTGGTTGGCTGAGTGAGTGGTTGAGTGGTTAGTTGAGTGAGTGTTTGGTGGTTGAGTGGATGGTTGAGTGGTTGAGTGAGTGGTTGGCTGAGTGAGTGGTTGAGTGGTTGGTTGGGTGAGTGGTTGGTTGATTGAGTGGTTAGTTGAGTAGTTGAGTGGTTGAGTGAGTGGTTGGTTGAGTGGATGGTTGAGTGAGTGGTTGAGTGAGTTGTTGGCTGAGTGGTTGGGTGGTTAGTTGAGTGAGTGGTTGGTTGGGTGAGTGGTTGGTTGATTAGTTGCGTGGTTAATTTAGTGTTTAGTTGAGTGAGTGGTTGAGTGATTGAGTAAGTGTTTGATTAAATGATTGGTTGGTAGAGTGATTGGTTGAGTGAGTGATTGGTTGAGTGAGTGATTGGTTGAGTGAGTTGTTGGATGAGTTGTTGGTTGAGTGATTGATTGAGTGGTTGGTTGAGTGGGGGGTTAAGTGGTTTGTTGAGTGTTTGGTTGAGTGATTGGATGAGTTGTTGGTTGAGTGGGTGGTTGAGTGAGTGATTGAGTGGTTTGTTGAGTGGGGGGTTAAGTGGTTTGTTGAGTGTTTGGTTGAGTGATTGGATGAGTTGTTGGTTGAGTAAGTGGTTGGTTGGGTGAGTGGTTGAATGAGTGCTTGGTTCAGTGGGTGGTTGATTTAGTGGTTGGTTGAGTGGGGGGGTTAGTTAAGTGTTTGGTTAAGTAAATGATTGGATGAGTTGTTGGTTCAATAGATGGTTGAGTGAGTGGTTGATTGAGTGGTTGGTTGAGTGGGGGGTTAAGTGGTTTGTTGAGTGAGTGTTTGGTTGAGTGAGTGATTGGATGAGTTGTTGGTTGAGTGGGTGGTTGAGTGAGTGAGTGATTGAGTGGTTGGATGAGTTGTTGGTTGAGTGATTGGTTGAGTGAGTATTGGATGAGTTGTTGAGTAAGTGGTTGGTTGGGTGAGTGGTTGAATGAGTGCTTGGTTCAGTGGGTGGTTGATTTAGTGGTTGGTTGAGTGGGGGGGGTTAGTTAAGTGTTTGGTTAAGTAAATGATTGGATGAGTTGTTGGTTCAGTAGGTGGTTGAGTGAGTGGTTGATTGAGTGGTTGGTTGAGTGGGGGGTTAAGTGGTTTGTTGAGTGTTTGGTTGAGTGAGTGATTGGATGAGTTGTTGGTTGAGTGAGTGAGTGGTTGGATGAGTTGTTGGTTGAGTGAGTATTGGATGAGTGGGGGGGTTAGTTAAGTGTTTGGTTGAGTGAGCGAGTGATTGGTTGGTCGTGCTCCAGCCTGGTCCCTACCAATGATCCACTCAGTGGTTGAGTCACTGCAGTCAAGCCTGGTCCAGGAGCTCGTACACAAGAATTCTTGATACCGATGATCTCCTTGGCTCCCTGCTCCAGCAAACATTCTGCCACCGAATACCTTCATTGGAGGAGGAGCAATAGCACACCTCGACATTGGCGTCTATCTTCTTCTACATATATACAAGGCAAATATGCGTATATGTGTGTGTCTGTCAGAAATGTTTAGCATACTTCCCGACATGCAACAAACTTGAAATTTGGCATGTGGGTAGCTTCCAGACTGTACACAATGCAAAAAGTATAAAAAATAGACTTTTGTATTTTGCGGGAGAGGGGTGGGGGGTGCAATAATGGATATATTTTGCACGGCAAGTGAGCAGTGACGTCACATCTATGATGTCACCCCCCTCGCGGCAGCGTCACGCAGCGTGCCTGCTGACGTCACGCATCCCCCACCCTCCTCGTAGGCCGTGCATTAACCCAAGACAAGCATCCAAGTCTTGGGTGAAGCTGGGTAGTAAAGCTAGTTAATCAATATATATATTTTTAAAAATGTACCAGGTAAAGCCCAGCACTGAGCGAGATACAGTTGCCGAGAGAAAGTTTGTGAACCCGCCCAAAGTGAATTATGGGAATTCCATAGTTTCACCACGAGAGCCTTCTCGAAAAATCAAAACCAGGCCTTTTCTTGAACATCCACAAGGGGTTATATTACCCAATTTCACGTCATTTGAACCAAAAGGACGTATGGATTAAACAAACGAGTCATTGAGGTTCAAGGCATGTGAAAAAGTACTAAGCGAACACCTGGTTTCATTAGCTAAATCAAGGGAATAATTATAATCAGGTGTTGATTTTAAGCTTTCGTGACTGCAGGAATCCATACTCTTTGGTTCTTTCGGTAAAGTCACGTGGGTAGGAAATAAATCACGACGTTTCGGGCGCAACACCAAGCGTCCATCATCAGGTGAGAAAGCGATGGACGCTTGGTGTTACACCCGAAACGTCGTGATTTATTCTATTTTACACCTACGTGACTTTACCGAAAGAACCAAAGAGTATAATCAGGTGTTTACATAATTAGGTAGATCTTCAGAGGTGAGTTTAACACGTAGGCTTCCGCGACCAATACATATTTACGCGATCTAATCCCAAAAAAAAACTTGTATTATGGACTTCAGAGGTGAGTTTAGGAGTTTGGGAGACCCCCACCCTATAGAGGTCAGAAACGTCGTGAGTTTGGTCTTCACCGTACAGTTGCGTGTGGAAACAAGTCATACCACGATCAAACAAATCTCTGAGGACCTCAGAAAAAGAGTTATTGATGCTCATCGGTCCGTAAAGGGGTTACAAAACCTATTTCTAAGGACTTGGGGCTCCATGAATCCACTGTCAGACAGCTGGTCTACAAATGGAGAAAGTTCAAGACCATCGTCACTCTACCCAGCAGCGGTCGTTCTACCCAAATGTCTCCCAAGAACGAAGCCAAAAATCATGAAGGAGGTCCCAAAGAACCTCGGAGGAACATCCAAGGGCGTGCCGGCCACTCTCGCCCTGGCTAATCTGAGTGTTCATGATTCATCTATCAGGAAAAAAAAAACTGAACAAGAATTGATGTTCATGCAAGTGTAATGAGAGAGCACACCGACACACGGAGGGCTGCATAGGCATTGCCGCATCGGTCATAGCCAATCAGGGCTACGGGGTTCGATCTGGGCCAAACAAAGTTCATGGGCGGAGCTCAGGGGCACGTGCGGGAACAATCGAGAAGTTTCTGAAGGGGGCGTGGTTAGAGGCGGGGCTTCGCTGCGTACAAGGAGGATATAAGGAGAGGCAGGAGGAGGACTCGGGGGGGTTACGTGTGGACGCCTGGGGTCCCGTACTGCATCTCCGCCATCTCGTCAGCCACCGACCGCGTGGCGGCCGCGGGCGAAGCTCTCCCGATTCCCGGCGCGTCGCCGACCAGCGGTGCGCGGGGAAGCGAGAGCGAGGGAATGGAGGAGCAGAGAGCCGCGTGCATGCGGCGAGAGAGAGAGAGAGGGTGACCATCTAAAGAGAGTGCGGAGCCGAGCAGTGATAACTAATCAAGAAAGGACGCAAGTCTCAAAGCGTCGTGGAAGTCGTTTATTACAGAAGGATAGCCAAAGAGGACACAGATGATCCACAAGACCACTGGAACAATGTCCTCTGGGACAGACGAGTCAAAGGTTGAACGTTTTGGCGTCAATGAGAAGCGTTATGTTTGGCCAAAACTTAGCGCTGCTTTCGCACAGAAGAACCTCGTCCCAACCGTCAAGCGCGGTTGTGGGAATGTGGTGATGGTTTGCTGTCTCAGGACCTGGACGGCTTGCCATCATTGACACGACTGTGATGACTCGGATGATGAAGTACTAGGAGCCACTTTTATTAACACAGAACAATGTAGGTCCGGGCTTCGTGTTTATTTCCCTTAGCCAATCCCCGTCCTTCCCCTCTAACGGATCCCAACCATCGACCTGTGGGTTCCACTCCGTTTCCCACCTATTCTAATTCAAACCTTCTCCTCCAATCACTTCAAAAGCCTGACCAATCCCTGTGGAGGCCTCTTTCCTCCAATCGGAGACCTTGGTTTATCGTCGAATAGCCGTTAGGCTGCACATTGGCTTGGGGTACATTTTCAGTCATCAAACAACCATGAATTCTGCATTGTAACAGAAGATTTGAGAGGAGGATGTCAGGCCATCCATCTGTGAACCAAAGCTGAACTGAAAGTGGGTCCTGCAGTAAGCCAATTATCCAAAATCTACAAAAGAATGGCTGCAGAAGAAGAAATTCCATTTTGATTTAAAGCTTTCGTGACAGCAGTAATTCATATTCTTAGCTCTTTCGGTAAAGTCACGTTGAAGGGAAACAATAAAATATATATAAAACAATAAAAATTCTCACGACGTTTCGCCCATAACGCAAACGGTCATCACACCTGATGATGACTGCT